TTGTCCTAGTAAGCTTTGCACTAGTCAGTGTTATTTGTCAAATAATCAGAAACGCACTTGTGAAATAAATAGCCTGGACAATCTGTTTCTCCATTCTGTGGGAACTCAGTTGTGCTGTCATGTAAATTTGAATTCTCTTGCTACTTCTGTCTTAGTGGGAGACTCACAATTTTTGACACAAGTAGATTACTCTCACTAATTTGTTTTCAGGCAGTACTGGGAGACCAGAATTATTCTTAGACCATTGGCTGTCTGTTGATAAAGACAAGTCACCAGTAACCTTTATGAATCTGGTTCAGTAGGTGCTAGAGGTAGTGACTAGCTTCTGATTTACATCTGAATAACTGTTCTTTATGAAGTTTGATTGCCAGAGGTCACTGGAGTAAGAACAGAGATGAATAATAAGGACTTTTTTTCAACATTGTCCAGGTAATAGGAGGACAATAGAGGAATAGTGAGGGGGATTGAGGGTGACTGTCTTTCATTTTAGTGTTTCATATCAAATGCTTGGAAAGCATTCTTCATCAATATCTGCAGAAAGTAGATTTTTTCCTGGTTGATCAGACCATTTCATTGTCTGCCAATAGTGATGTTGTGCAAGAATAGAAGAAGGCTGTTTGAAAGTTACTAAGAAAGTATTAAGTGTAATTCAGTTTCCTCTCAGATATTATCTTACATATGTGCACTTTTATAGCAGATTTTTTCGTGAATTAGTCAGAGGACTAAATAGCCAAATAAATTCAGGTCAATAGAATTCAGGCAACTTCTGCTTTCCATCTGAGGAATATCAGTGTCCGCAATATATGAATCAGCTGCGTGGGCTTTATGACACACATCTGAGAAACTATTTCTTGGTTGAATCCTCCAGACCCAGTGCCTATGTTCATATGCTGATCTTTCATTCATCATACAATAATCTCTAAGCAGAAGGGAAATCCCTTGTTAGTCACCAGCTGTGGACATCATGTGGAAAGTCACTTAGAGATAAAATAACAATTACCTGCTTCAAAACAGTTATGATTCTTTGAGATTGCTTCCCACACATTACATGTGTTTTTATGTGCTTAGATGCAAAGTCCTTCTCTTGTGACATTATGTACTAGTAACAAAGTTGTGGGAGAGTTTAGCTTGCTTTACTCTTTATATCTTTCAGTAGTGGAGAGTCACAGGAAAGAAGGAGACATCCCAAGACTACAAGATGCTGCTGCTCAGCCTATTCTGAAATGACATGTAATATATATTTCCCAGAAATGCATTCCTGAAGTTGAGCTGAAGATCCACAGTTACTACAGAGTGCGGAACAGGCCCATTTCTTTATATTGCTGTATATAATATTTTCTAATGTCTGTTTGCGCTTTGTGTGGGTTTATTTGACTTAATGAGCTGTATCATGTTATTATGTTTAGTTTCTCGTATTGAAGTTTTTTGCATGCCATTAATTTCTTAGTTTTTCAGTTTACCTGCTAGTCACTCCACCTGTATCATGTCTTGAATGGCCAATTAACATTCTTTCATACAGGTTCTATCTCTTTCTGTCCTAACAGATTATTCCTCAAATAACTTAATACATAAAAATTATTTTGATCTACTTGTCCCTGTTTGTCTCCTCTTCAGCTAGTCTAAACTCAAATACAGAAGTGCATTTTTGTCTTGTATCTGGCTCTGTTGCTGACTTAGGACTAACATATGCTGAGATGGGCCCTTATTTTTCTCTACTGTAGTCAGAATCTTCCTTTTCTGTAATATCTTTAAACATTGTTATTATATCAGGACATGAGTATCGGCTTTTGCTTGGGACACTTGTTTTATATGCAGAATGGAAGTGTATCTACAGAAAATGTAGCCTGTTTTACACCACAATAGATGTGTGAAGTAATCTTTCATTCATTGTATGAACTGACTTATTATTTAGTGTTCTTCATATTCCACACTTTTTACTACAGTAGTTCAGTGCAATTCTCTGACTAGTTTATGTGGCTTGTTACTCAGTCTGTTTTTAACTACTTCTACCAGCGTTAATCTGTGTATACACATGGTCTGCTCTTGTCTGTGTGTTATGCACTCTAATTTAGTTTAATTATTTTGTTTCTTTTATAAATATTTCTAATCCCTTTTGTGGACTTTACTATGCAGTTTATGACTGCATATGGATAAACCCATGTCAGATCTAGAATCTAGCACTAATGATTAGGAGTACAGCAATTGCCTGAAATTTATATCTGTTATTTACAGTGTGACAAAAATGTGGAATGTTAGAGAATAAAATCACTGGGCTTCTTGGCAAAGCTTTATATAGTTTTTCTCTAGCACTCATAGCAAATGAGCCTTGCTATGTAGAATCATTGTGGAGGTTGACCTGTCTATTTACATAATACATAATTTGTTGTTCTTAAACTTTGAGTGCATGCAACTCAGTGAAGTCTGCGGGGCATAATTTGTCAAATATCATCTCTGCTTTGGTTTTGAGCTGAACAGTTTTGGCAGCTGTGTATTAAAATCATGCAGATAAACATGAACGAGTGCCTCTTGTGCTACAAAATGTGAATATTCCAAGAGGCTTTACCCTTGGTAAGAAGTTCTGGTGACTTAGAAACTCAGTTTACAATCCAGAGCAGTTGCTAATTTATATCTGTATTGCTACTTCTGATGCTTCACAAGATCATGTTAAAAGGATTAATTTTTTCAACTCTTTTGATAGGTATGCATAGAGCTATTGAAAGAATTTGTATTTTGCCATTCATTCATTGTCAACTTCCACGTCAGGCGGTCCTTTAAAATTAATATCATTGGGAAGTGATGATTCTTAGATATGGTATCAAACTGCTTTTTCTGCCTTTGAATTATGAATTTTAGTATTTCTGGATAGGAATGTTGCCTGTAATTCTTGAAAGCAAGCGGTTTTATAATACTCTTTCTATAACTTTCCTGTCCAAGTGTAAGAGTCTACTTGAATTGTACCATAGCTAGTTCTGGAACTTGCTTATCATAGAGAAAGTAGTCTGCCTTGGACCACTGCAAAAGGTGTGTAAATAGTGCTCCAGATACTGTTTGCTAGTCTCTGAGAAATGGAACATACATACAGGCAGTAACTGCTGAAAAGTACAGTTAATAATGACCATACCTTCATGTTCAGGTGAATTATTTTTCATTTACCTATGGTAAAGGCAGATTCCTTTAAGATAAATGCTAACTGTATCAGCCTTGAACTTGGATTGCGGAACTGTTTGGCAGATTGGTTATGGTGACGGGATTATGAGTTTTGGTCAGCAACCTGCCCCTGCTGGAAAGGAGAGTTGCCTTCTCTTCTTGCCTTCCCTTGTAACTAAAGAAGTAAATAGAGGAAGAGCAGATGTTACTCCTATTCCTGAGTTTCCTGTGCCTTTTGTTGTAGATGGCAAATCTAATGGATACCTTTGGCTCTTTTAAGTGACTGCAAGTGTTGATGTTCCAGACCATAATCAGTAGTCTCTTTTGATATCAGAATTGATTCAGATAATCACTTTTAATATGATCTAAACCAGCAACCAAGGGACTTTGATTTAAAGCATCCGTTATAATCTAGAAAAGCATTGGTAAATTTTTGTTCTTTTTTTAAAGACAGTTGCATTGTCATTGGTTGTTAATCATAAAAGGATGTCGATTTGAAGCTAAAAAAAGCCTTTCCTTTAATTGAATAATTTGTTTTATTACCCAGTGAGAGAGTACCAGTTTGTATACAGATTTGTTCATGCTGATATACATTAACACTTAATTGATTTTTTTTTTTAATGAAATTATCTGATTTGTATCTGTCAAAGGGAAAAATTAAGCTACGTAGCACAACTTCTAAATTTAGAACTAACTAGTTCACTAAAGAAAGGAAGTATTATTTGTAATTAGTACATTAAATTAGTCATTCTTGGCCACATTATCCTCCTAGATTTTAAAAGGAGAGAGCATACTCTCACACCTCATTTTAATTTATATTTTGGCAGCAGGCTTTTTTTTCCAATTTCCAACTAAAACTGAATGACCTGGTCATTGAATTCAAGTAGCTGAAACATTAAAAGAAAGAAAATATTGGTTTAACATCTGCAGAAAAAGCTTTTGCTGTCAAGACTTGGTTTAACATTTCAACAGGCTGTACACCCAAGTGTTCAACTACTGAATTGCTTTTGACTAGCTTTGAAACTTCAGTATAATAACGTACTACTGAAATATTGATTGAGTATAGTTTAAAATTATTGATAGCTTGCGGTAAATGTTATGTTAAATATAATGAAAGCTATAATATACAAGTTGATTTTGTGAGTAAAAAATACATTTTTCCTCAGACTTCTTTGAGTTTGTGGTGAGGAGGGAAGAAAACTTAAACTTGTTGAAGCTGAAGAGCAGTGCCTTAAGCTGAATGTTGAAATGACAGAACACTGATGATAAATTAAATGCAAACCGTTCTGTGGTTGCACAGGCCTCTGGAGCCCTGCTACCTGTCGTGTGTACTGGCTGCATGTGCATCTCTTTCTCCGACTGAAAACTTTCCCACGTTCCATTGAGCTGTTGGCTACGGCTTTACAGGAGAAAAGGGGCAGTAGTGGTGGCCACACTACGTCTGCGAATATTAAGACACAGAGATCTTCCAGCTATGCTGGCGTCACAGATGGTTATGCTGAGGCATCTGTCTTTCAGCTGGGACTGTTTGTGTATGTGCCTGTTTTAAGTATTCCTGTTTTGTTGTTTGCCTAGCTCTGCTACGTATGTTTTTGGAGCTTACTATTCAGATTTTTGTCAAAAGTGAGCAGAAGCTAGAGAAAAAGGCTTGCAAACCTATTCAGCCACAGAATGATTAGAGGGACGATCGATTTTTTTGGTAAAGTATTGCTGAGCAATCAATTTTTAGTCCTGCTTTGTTGTATGGAAATTTTTTTCCCATAGCATGGCAGTACTTTGAATAAAAAGTAATGAAATGGTGTTTCAGAGATGTTCTTTGTGAGGCTGATGTTAATTGGTGCTTTCTTTTTCAGCTAATCTGCCTGTACCTACTATTGCTGCAATAGATGGAACTGCATTAGGTGGTGGCCTAGAACTTGCGTTAGCCTGTGATATAAGAGTAGCAGGTAGGTCTGAATCCTGTTCACAGAAGGCAGAATTGTTAATGTTGCAGATGGCTTGCCTAATCCTTGTTTGGGCAACAATCTTACCAAACATTTTGTATTTGATGTTGTTTATAACCCATTATTTTAAAGGGATTTAGCAGAAACCTGTCTAGGACAACTGACCACTGACAGCTGGATTGTTGTTGTTACATATTTTATTTTGTTCTTATGACCTTCATTTTATCAGTATTGTCAGAAAGGTTATGTAATTACTTTTGATATTTCATTTAGTTATTAAAGTATTCTCTTCTGTATTTGAGGTGTTCTAGATGGAGATTTGATTTACCTAAACAGGTTGCAGGGAAAAAACGAAAGTTGTTGGTGAGAGTATTATTACACAAGCAATCAAGCTGTTACACAAGAAAAGTGACAACAACGCGTGAAAAGAGGAACCTTGACCTATCCAGCTGTCAGAAGTGTAAAGCCATTTGTTGGAAAGTGAATGGAAACTTGGTCTTGATCAGTTGCCAGTAACTTATGGTATATAAAGCTGTTTGACCCTTAGAGAATATTCTGCCAACTAAACAATTCGTAATGATCAGATACAGAATTCTTCCCCATTTTAAGATGTTAAAGAATAACAGTCTTTTAGTATTTGAAATTTTGCAAAAAAGTCTCTGTTACTCACTGTAATTGCTTTGGTGCAGAGCTGCCTTGATGGGAGTAGTTGATTCTTTTACTAAAGGCAGATCAGTTGAATCTATTTAAGGACTTCTGTAAACAAATGTTTTTAAAGTGATTTATTCATTATTACATGTTTTTCAAAGTTTCTTTCTTATAGATTATAGAAAGAACTTATTTACATTCTACTTTTTAGCCTCTTCTGCTAAAATGGGCCTAGTTGAAACAAAGTTGGCAATCATTCCAGGTGCAGGTATGAATGTTTTGCTTTTGTTACCATGGATACCTAAATAACAAGTGGTCTTGATGTTTGATTTTGGATTGTTATTTATGAATTTCTGCTTATTTTTATATTTCTATTAAGGATTATGGCATGATTTAAAGCTTATTGCTCATGTTACTTACAAAAAATACTAAAAATACTAAAAATGTATGTCTCATTTTTAGGGAGTAGCACTAGTATATTATGTTCTTAATCAAAGTCTTCGTTAACTAAGTCAGTGTTGAGTGATGCGGTAAATGGCATTTGGTGTCTTGACCTGAAGGCTGAATAATTTTGCTAAGGATGAGATGGAAAAAAGATAGAGTTAATTATCACTGTACAAAAATGGTAATTTGAATAACGGTACATAACATAACATCTGGTACTTTAGGATTCAAATTCTGTTGTTGACTGGCTTTTCCTGGATTCAGGGTGGATGAAGTCCTAGTGAAGAAAAAGACAGAAAATCATGTTGTTTCTTTGACATTTTTTCCCCTTTGTCCTCCCACTCCACCCTCTCCTAAGGAATGCTGCGGGACAGTAGTGGAGACATACTCTCCAGTGCAAGAAGTTTGTGTTCTCCATATGTTCTTGGTATTCAGCTTACTTAGATTATCTCATGTTTCCTTGTCTTTAGTTAATTATAGAGGTTTCAGACTTCTAACACTTCCACCTTAAAATGCTAGGTGACTGACTCATTAGGAGTTTCATTCAGAATATATTATTGCTATTCAAAGACTAAGGTTTGAAAAATCTTTTTTTTTCTCATCCTGAAATAATGATTTGGGCAGATGTCTTCAGCTCCTCGAAAACTATGACAGATTTCACCACCTTACAATGCCTTTTAAATGTAAAATGTTTTGGGATCTATTCAGTGAGGAATTTTTTCACTATTCCTGTCTGCCTTTCTGAGGACTATGTTTGCTGAGTGTATTTGAGCTTATCACAACTTTTTCCTGATCAGCCTGTACTTGCACCAGTCCTGTTGAGCAATGACAATATTTCAGCTATTTTGGAATCCTGTCATCCAAATAGTAAGTGATCATACTTTGTGTCATCAGCAAGTGAAGAATGAGTGAAGGAATTGCATTTGCCATTTGTGTAGAGAAACCAGAGATGCCCACTTGAACCATAGACTTCATGGGTGAATGGAATATTTTCTTATAGTGCTTACTTCGAGCTGCTCTGAGGCAAAGGAGGACTGGGCAGTGGAGCTGAGAAGAGAGCCGTAGCCATTAAGAAGCCTCAGTAGGTTTCTGCTGCCACCTGGTACATCTGAAATATGCTGACAAAATGTGTTGCTTCTTCGAAGTACGTCCCTGCAGCATGGCAAGCTACTACTGTTTTTATTCTGCTCCATCAGCTGCCAAGTGTGTGCGGTAGATGTAAAGATTTTAACTTGGGTCATAATTAATGTGGGTGTTTGAGGCTGTATGAAAAACTTCTTTATATTCTCTTTGCTTTTTTTACAACCCCAGGAAGTTACACTCAGAAAGCTATGTTAGAAGAATGTTGCTAGAATTTGTTAGTATTAAAATATAGATTCCAGGCTGATCAGCTATGACATTTTGGACTTAATTGTATGTTATGTTGTATTCCATTGTCGTGGTTTAGCCTGACTCTACACCAGGTGCCCACCAAAGCCGCTCTGTCACTCCCTCTCCTCAGCTGAACAGGGGAGAGAAAATAATGACGAAGGGCTCATGGGTTGAGACAGGCACAGGGAGAGATCACTCACCAATTACCATCATGGGCAAACCAGACTCGATTTGGGGAAATTGATTTAGTTTATTACCAATCAATTCAGAGCAGGGGAATGAGAAATAAAAAATAAATCTTAAAAACGTCTTCTCCCCACCCCTCCCTCCTCCCTTCAAGTGACGCAGAGGGACAGGGAATGGGGGTTGTGGTCAGTTCATCACACCCTGTCTCTGCCGCTCCTTCCTCCTCATGCTCTTCCCCTGCTCCAGTGTGGGGGTCCTTCCCACGGGAGCCAGTCCTCCACGACCTTCTCCAACATGAGTCCTTCCCACGGGCTACAGTTCTTCACAAACTGCCCAATGTGGGTCCTCCCCTGAGGAACGGGCTGCCCCAGCGTGGGCCCCCCGCGGGGTTACAGGCCCTGCCAGCAAACCTGCTCCAGTGTGATCACAGCCTCCTTTGGGCACATCCACCTGCACTGGTGTGGGGTCCTCCAGGGGGATGTCTGCTTTACCCTGTACCTTGATGGGCTTCAGAGGCACAGCCTGCCTCACCGTGGACTTGTCAGTGGGCTGCAGGGGAATCTCTGCTCTGGTGCCTGGAGCAGCTCCTCCCCTCCTTCTTCACTGACCTTGGCATCTGGAGAGTTGCTTCTCTCACATATTGTCAATCCTCTATCCAGCTGCAAATGCCCTTACTCAGATTTTTTTTACCTTTTAAATACTTTATCACAGAGGTGCTGCCGCTGTTGCTGGTGGGCTTGGCTTTGGCCAGTGGTGGGTCTGTCTTGGAGCCAGCTGGCGTTGGCTCTAGTGGACTCAGGGAAAGCTTCTGGCAGCTTCTCACAGAAGCCACCCCTGTAGCCCCCCTGCTACCAACACCTTGGCATGTGAACCCAGTACATCCATCCTATTTTGAAATGTGGCCATCAAAAGGCCTCGTCATTTGCTGTCTAGTGACCAGTGAGTTTTAACGTAATCTTCCCAGGTGGAAGGAGGTTGAGCAGCAGTTAGTTGAATGGTGGTTAATACACCAAAATGAATTGTTCCTGCCAAGTCTATGGAGGGTCTCAACCAAGTAGGCATTTGTAGAGCATGCCTTATCTGTGGTAGCAGGTTGAGTTTCCTCAGAAAATTTATCCGTGGCAGGCAGCAGAGCAAGACCAAGTGGGGTGACAGCAGTACCTCCTTTTACACAGTAGCTTTGTGCACAGCCCAGCTGCTCAGGTTATGAGTGAGAAGGATTGATTCTTCTGCCTTTGGAAATTTAAATCCAGTTCTCTCCACTACGACAAAAAGCCTTAGCTGCCAGACTGAGTTAGGGAAAGTAGAAAATGTTTCCATTTTTGCTCTTCAGTACGTCCCACTGTCTAGTAAGGAAGTCAAGATTCAGAGAAACAGAGGAACTGTGTAGAGACTAGACACACCAGAGCTGTCTAGTCACAGAGTTGTTTGTCCCCCTAGAAGATAAAAGATGGTTTGGTAACTCGGTGCTGGGGACGTTACCTGAGAATCAATATTGACGATGGCTGTTTTCTAAAGAAAGTCTGCCAGTCAGTCACTATTCACTGCACTAGTGGTCTTATGCCACCACAACAAGCATATATACTAGAGTTTCTATTTGTTTGTTTATGCCCTCTCTTCCTCACTTTTCTTCGCTATGAACTTGGGGTCTGTTTGCTAGTTGTGGTCTAATTTGAGTACAGGGCAGTGGTTGCAAAAAAGAAAGCCCTGAGACTTTTAATAAAAGTAGGTGGCCAGATGAAGGGGAAGTTTTATTGTCCTCAGCTGAAAGGTTTCAGCAAGAAGTAACCTGTTCTTGGGCATGGAGCAATGGGAACAGGAGGGAAGTGTCGTGGATGTCCTAGCTGTGGAAAATGTTTTGGTCAGAATACTCCTTTCACTGGTCAGCAGTGAGTTCATAGGAGGACAGGATTTCATGGGAAAACAGACATTATTAGCTCTGGGGTTTAAGGAGATGCTCGTTATCAGTCAGAGTGGCTTTTCTCAAAGCTGTTCATTGCTAAAAGGAGTTGATTTTTTGGATCTCTTCGTCAAAAAGCTGTTTAAACGACATATTTTCTGTGTCCTGCTTTAGTCTGTACAGAACTCAGTATAATGTAGGAAGAGTCTTTTTTACACAAAGATCATGTTCCTTGTCTTTGTTGTTGTTTCCCAAACTGAAGTAAGAAGAAAGCAAACCTCTTTCGTTAATTGAATCTAGTCTCTGGTGTCTCTTAACTTGCAGAGGAAGTGTTTCACAGTGACAAGTTTCTCTTTAGTTGAAAATTGTCTTTTGGAGCATTTGTACCTAAAGTCCTCTGTTCTTCTCCTTTGTAGCTTTTTAGAGCTATCTCCATCCATGATTTACTTCTGTTGTTTACCCTTAGACTTTCACAACGGATGTCACACTGGGCCTGCAATTGATAAATGATTCCTTGCTGGCAGATCTGTTCTTATATGTTAGTATCTTATTTGTATACCACTCAGTAATAGATCTGTTACTAGAAGATAAATATGCTTGTAAACAACATACATAAACTTTCTTAGTGTGTTAATAGAATGAGATATAATTGGTTGGACAAAGGAAAATATTCTGTGATAGTAACACTTAGGAAAGACAGGTGTATATATATAAAAAATAATTTGGGTTTTCTTTATGCAGTTTTTTTCCGTGAAAGTTTTCTGTGTAAAGCTGAGGTATTGTTATACATCAAAAATTATGTTTCCACAAAAAAGACAAAATAAAATAATGGAACTTAATTGAAATTAATACAGTTGTGTCAGCCCATAATTTGACTTGTCTAGATTAAAACTGTAGCTACTGGCCTGCATGCTTACAGCTGTCACTCCTTTTTTTTGTTTATTTTGTTTACGAAGACATTTTATTTAACAAGGCTTCATTCAACTCATCAAAATGAATTTTGCCTTTGTTCTTCCTTGCTCCTCCCCCAGACCGCACTACTTCATTACAGAGCTGTCTTCCTCTGTTTAAAGGTAAAATAAAAACCCACCACATAATCCCTGGGATCATGCTTTCCTGGACAGTATTCAGTTTAAAAACAAAACATATTTTACCAAGAAGGCTTTAGAAACAAAAGAAGTAAAGAAAGAAAAAAACCCACTCCATTACATCTTTAAAAAAGTGTTTGTAAATAAGCTATTTCTTCTTTCTACATCTTAAAGTTACTTTGAATGCTTTTTTCCAAAGGTGAAACTGAAGCTTTGTTACATAGTGGGCTGGACTTTTTTTTGTGTTTAAAACATATAGCAAGGGAGATATTTAATGGC